TTCCCAGATCCCATCCCAGTTCCCAGATCCCATCCCAGTTCCCAGATCCCATCCCAATTCCCAGATCCCATCCCAATTCCCAGATCCCATCCCAGTTCCCAGGTCCCGTCCCGGTTCCCAAATCCCACCTCAATTCTCAAATCCCATTCCAGTTCCCAGATCCCGTCCCGGTTCCCAGATTCCGTCCCAGTTCCCAGATCCCATCCCAGTTCCCAGATCCCATCCCGGTTCCCAGATCCCATCCCAGTTCCCAAATCCCACCCCAATTCCCAGATCCCACCCCAATTCCCAGATCCCATCCCAGTTCCCAAATCCCATCCCAATTCCCAGATCCCATCCCAATTCCCAGATCCCATCCCAGTTCCCAAATCCCACCTCAATTCTCAAATCCCATCCCAGTTCCCAAATCCCATCCCAGCTCCCAAATCCCATCCCAATTCCCAGATCCCATCCCGGTTCCCAGATCCCATCCCGGTTCCCAGATCCCACCCCAATTCCCAGATCCCATCCCAATTCCCAAATCCCACCTCAATTCTCAAATCCCATCCCAGTTCCCAGATCCCATTCCACTTCCCAGATCCCGTCCCGGTTCCCAGATCCCATCCCGGTTCCCAGATCCCATCCCAATTCCCAGATCCTGTCCCGGTTCCCAGATCCCATCCCGGTTCCCAGATCCCATCCCAGTTCCGAGATCCCACCCCAATTCCCAGATCCCATCCCGGTTCCCAGATCCCATTCCAGTTCCCAAATCCCATCCCGGTTCCCAAATCCCATTCCAGTTCCCAGATCCCATCCCAGTTCCCAGATCCCACCCCAATTCCCAAATCCCATTCCAGTTCCCAGATCCCATCCTGGTTCCCAGATCCCGTCCTGGTTCCCAGATCCCATCCCAGTTCCCAAATCCCATTCCAGTTCCCAAATCCCACCCCAATTCCCAGATCCCATCCCAGCTCCCAAATCCCATTCCAGTTCCCAAATCCCACCCCAATTCCCAGATCCCATCCCGGTTCCCAGGTCCCGTCCCAGGGAGGGTTTGGACACCCACAATCCCGTCTCTGGGAAGGTCTCAGAATGTCCCGATCCCATCCCGGGGATTCCCAACTCCCCTCTCTGGGAAGGGCTGGCTGGGCTGGTGCCACCGACCCCCTGGCCCTGGGTGTCCCCATGTCCCCGGGGTGGTGTCCCCATGTCCCCAGGGTGGTGGCGATGTCCCCATGTCCCCAGGGTGGTGTCCCCATGTCCCCGGGGCGGTGGCGGTGTCCCTGGGATGGTGCTGGTGTCCCCAGGGCAGTGTCCCCATGTCCCCGGGATAGTGTCCCCATGTCTCCAGGGTGGTGGCGATGTCCCCACGTCCCCACGCGGTGTCCCCATGTCCCTGGGATAGTGTCTCCATGTCCCCAGGATGGTGTTCCCGTGTCCCTGGGGCGGTGGCAGTGTCCCCATGTCCCCATGCGGTGTTCCCATATCCCCAGGGTGGTGTCCCCGTGTCCCCGGGGTGGTGGCGATGTCCCCATGTCCCCACGCGGTGTCCCCATGTCCCCTGGGCGGTGTCCCCATGTCCCCAGGGTGGTGTCCCCGTGTCCCCGGGGTGGTGGGGGTGTCCCCATGTCCCCCCGTGGTGTCCCCATGTCCCCGGGGTGGTGGCGGTGTCTCTGGGATGGTGCTGGTGTCCCCAGGGCAGTGTCCCCATGTCCCCGGGGTGGTGGCGATGTCCCCATGTCCCCACGCGGTGTCCCCATGTCCCTGGGCAGTGTCCCCATGTCCCCAGGGTGGTGTCCCCTTGTCCCTGGGGCGGTGGCAGTGTCCCCATGTCCCCACGCGGTGTCCCCATGTCCCCAGGGTGGTGTCCCCGTGTCCCCGGGGTGGTGGCGGTGTCTCTGGGATGGTGGTGGTGTCCCCTGGGATAGTGTCCCCATGTCCCCAGGATGGTGTTCCCGTGTCCCTGGGGCGGTGGTGGTGTGCCCAAGGCAGTGTCCCCATGTCCCCGGGGTGGTGTCCCCACGTCCCCCCGCGGTGTCCCCACGTCCCCGGGGTGGTGTCCCCATGTCCCCCCGCGGTGTCCCGGTGTCCCCGCGCTGAGCGGGCTGGCCGTGCAGAGTTCTGGAAGGTTCTGGCCCTGCTCTACGTGCCGGCGCTCTACTCGCCGCTGCTGGCCTGCGCCGGGCCCCGGCACCGCCTGGCCTACGCCGCGGGGACCCTGCTGGCCTGGGGACACTGCGGGGCGCACGCCTGGCAGCGCGCGCAGTGTCCCCTGGCGCCCCAGGTGGGTGGCACCGCCGTGGCACGGCCCGTTCGGGTGGCACTGAGGTGGCTCCCTTGTCACCTCCTGAGGTGGCCCGGAGGTGTTGTGGCTCCCTTGTCACCTCCTGAGGTGGCCCTGAGGGTTTGTAGCTTCCTTGTCACTTTCCAGGGTGGCCCTGAAGTGTCATGGCTCCCTTGTCACCTCCTGGGGTGGCCCTGAGGGTTCTTCACACCCTTGTCACTTTTTGGGGTGGCTTTGATGTGTCATGGCTCCCTTGTCACCTCCTGGGGTGGCCCTGAGGGGTTGTGGCTTCTTTGTCACTTTCTGAGGTGGCCCTGAGGGTTTTTGAATTTCTTGTCACCTCCTGAGGTGGCCCTGAGGGGGCTTCACACCCTTGTCAGTTTTTGGGGTGGCTCTGAGGGGTCTTCGCACCCTTGTCACTTTTTGGGGTGGCCTTGATGTGTCATGGCTCCCTTGTCACCTCCTGGGGTGGTCCTGAGGCGTCTTGTCTCCCTTGTCACCTCCTGGGGTGGCCCTGAGGGGTTGTGGCTTCTTTGTCACTTTCTGAGGTGGCCCTGAGGGTTTTTGACTCCCTTGTCACCTCCTGGGGTGGCCCTGGATGCTGTGGATCCCTTATCACTTTCTGGGGTGGCCCTGAGGCACTGTGGCTCCCTTGTCACCTCCTGGGGTGGCCCTGAGGGGTTGTGGCTTCCTTGTCACCTCCTGGGGTGGCCCTGAGGTGCCATGGCTCCCTGGTCACCTCCTGAGGTAGCCCTGAGGGGTTGGGCATCGTGACCCCAGGGTGGTGGCAGTGACCTGGTGTCCCTGGGGTGGTGGCCGCTACTGTGTGCCCCTGGGGTGTTGGCAGAGACGCAGTGTCCCCAGGGTGGTGGCGGTGACATGGTGTCCCTGGGGGTGGCAGCAGTGTCCCCAGGAGGTGGTGATGTCCCTAAGGTGGTGGCAGTGACCCCAGGGTGCTGGTGGTGTCCCCAGGGTGGTGGCAGTGACCCCAGGGTGCTGGTGGTGTCCCCAGGGTGGTGATGGTGTCCCCAGGCTGGTGGCAGTGTCCCCAGGCTGGTGATGGTGTCCC